GGGTGATTTCACCGTCACCCATCACAGGGGGTGATTTCACCGTCACCCATCACAGGGGGTGATTTCACCGTCACCCATCACAGGGGGTGATTTCAATGTCACCCATTTCTAGCAGTGCTTCATATTTAAGAAAAAATTATACCTCAATTTAATGAATTGAAAACATGTTTAATATAAAATGTTGACATCCTCAAATCATTATTTCTACATGAATTTAGGAAAACAAATTTTAAACAGTCTCCAAAACATGATGAAGGACAGTGGTATCTTTGAAAAACACACAAACAAAAAAGTTCAGTAATTACAAGGTATCTCATATACTGGCTTTCCAAAATTTGATGTACAAAACAATTAACAGCCACTTTAAAAAAAAGTTTCTCCCCAACACACACCAATTGGGAATGAAAGATGCAATTAATAACCACTGCCATGTGAAATCTCCGAAATCCATGTATCTTGAACTGTGCAAAGAGACAAGGTCAACAGAAACTGGGGACACTAAGGCTGACTGACAATCCCATGTCACTTCCTAGTTTACCTTACTTTGCCTTTGTTTCAAATGCTGTACACACAGTCCTAACTAAATCCAAGAGATGTTTAACATAATATTCTAAAACCCATTATCTGAGAAAACAGTAAGATCATATTTCTCTCAAAATATTTCTGATAGCCTAGGATTCTAAACTGTTTAATAGATAATACCACCATCATCACATAAATTCAGTAGAACTGTTACCTGAATATTTAATAAAATATTAGGTGCTATATGTGTGAGATCCCTGGGGGAATCATACATCTTTAAAAACTATAACTTAAAAATATAAAAGAAATGAGAAATCTGGCTTTGCAGATGAATAGTGGGTAACCAAGGTATAAAATTACATATTTGGTTCTAAATAATAAATAGAAGTTTAAAGGTACTCTGTCTGTTAAAATTAGGAGGACACCAATTTTATCTTTTATAGAAACTGTATACACACAATCTGGGGTAATGTAGGAATGAGTATTTATATAGCTATACCTCAAATAAACAAAGCTTAGCTACATCATTTTTTAGAACTTATTTGGTACTTAAAACTTGTTCCACGCTTTATCTGAACAAATGAGCTCATGTCTCAGACCTCTGTTTATGACACTGAGAGAGAGAGGAGGAGGAGGAGGAGGAGGAGGAGGAGGAGGGGATCCGAGCAGAGTAATTGCATTTAGCAACTGAGAATAATAAGCTGCACTTTGAAAGGGTACATTTTTATCTAACGGTATTCTTTTTTCACACTATACAGAAGGGATGCCGTGAATGGCATTTTCTGAAGCCTTGATACTAAGTTCCTTTTTTAAAAAAATACACAGTATTCATACTGCATGCTTGAGCTGCAAAGAAGAGAGTTACAATATGATGACTTGTCAACAAACTTGACAAGGGCTGGGCTGGCACCGGGGAGCACCTAACTCCCATCAACACCCAGTCATGTGGAAGTACTGATCACATAGTTTTATTACTTACGAAAACATTCCCACATTACATATGCTATTGCATAATCCAAGCATATTTCATCATAAAAATATATTTATGAAATTTTAATTTCTGTAAGTGCTTCTATGACACCTTCAGCTGTGAGAGCCCAACGACTCAAACAAGACACCATATACATTTCAACAATTTATGGACTACGGCAAGTTCCTTCCTTCTCGGTAAGCTGACAGAAATGCTGGTAAGCGGCTTTCCAGTAAGCTTAGAGAGCATGCGCTGTGCCTGCAGATTAACTAGCTACTGCTGCCTTTCTGTTGCTGTAAATGAAGTTTCAAGATGAGCTCGCGAATGTCTTCCCTCTTGGTCTTTATCACATGGCGAGGAAACCATTTCTCCAAGTGGATTGGGAGTTCAAAGTTAACAATGGGGTCCTAGAAAGAGGAAAGAAAGAATGCCATTAGTGTGACATCATGATTTCAGTTTTTCCAAATCTCACTTTTATAGGAAATGGAAAAATGATACCTTTCAAAAAATCAACAGCTTGTTGCATACCATACCACAGCACTCACATAAAGCACACAATTAGTTTTGAGTTTTTCAACTGGGTAAACATGGCCGCAATCCATTTTAGAACATTTTCATTAAATTGCTCACTTTTGAACATTAAATTAACTAGTCTACTCTGTTACACTGAATGTCTGAGTGGTTACAACGTGTAAAGAATGATTCAGCAGAACTTGGAAATCAGATTATTTTGAAAACGTACTAATTTTGTTAAACTATTATGGAGAAATCCCTGGATAAAGATTTCCAGAGTTGTAAACATGGAAAATCCCACTAAAAGTTGTCTTTTAGGGTAAGAAACAGCTTCCAGAACAATTATGTTTCCACAGTGTTAATTTGTTTGTTTGTTTGTTTGTTTGTTTTTCGAGACAGGGTTTCTCTGTGTAGTTTTTGGAGCCTGTCTTGGAACTCCCTCTGTAGACCAGGCTGGCCTCAAACTCACAGACATCTGCCTGCCTCTGCCTCCTAAGTGCTGGGATTAAAGGTGTGCACCACCACCACCTGGCTCCACAGTGTTAATTTAATGGCAAAGTTGAGTTGCAACTACAAAGTTATTTCTCCTTGCTTATAACTTTCTTTTAGTTGCTAAGGAAGGCTACCCTTACCTGGTTTTATAAATTTGAAGAAGCTGTTAGAAGGCTAGTGTAAGGACTTATATCTTGGAGAAGGGTGAGAGGATGGGCTGACTGGAATCTCAGGATGATTCATTGTCAGTGACCCCATGGACCAATGCCTACATGGGGATTTACTGCCTGGTTTTTTTTGTTTTTTTTTTTTACTAAAATTTGTATTGTTTTCTTTAAGGAAACCCACTGACTCCTCAAGCCTGTTTTAAACCTGGTCAATGCTACATTAGTACACAAATCTACAAGACATAGGTTTAGAATTTTTAGCTTCTCCCAGGAATTTTACATGGTGATTCTATATTTAACATATTTCTATTGACTGAGGCTACCTACAATTGGAATTATGTAACAAAGTAAGAATACATCACTTAAAAAGGTCCACTGGATATTCTAAAACTTAAATCAAAACCTACTAGGAAACAATACTAGAGGACCAGAACAGTTACCTATAATGAAATTCCAATGTGGACTACAAGGTGGGGACTAAGTACAATGTAACAATTATGTAATAATTTCTATAATGTGCAACATCTCTTACTATGCAGTATCATTCCTCCCAATAGTAAAGACACAGGAAAGTTCTAACTGCAGGCGAGAATTCTCTACATAAGACTTCTGGTCAAAAACCTATCTTCCTCAGTGATGCTGCTAGTGCTGGAACTAAGTGAGCTGTTGCTGAAAAGGCTGTGATTCCCTGCCATTCAAAGATTTGCCTTTAATGCTGCTATATCCCAATAAAGTCTCTATGAACTAGAAAATAATAGCCAATCTTCCAATTGTTTCCTTAGCTATGATATCCTTCGCTAAGCCTTTGGGACTCCAATTATATGAAAATGAGACCTGCATTCTGTCAGACCCATCTCTTCTGTACATTTTCTTGTTCCATGAGCTACCTTTGGACACTTTCTGTTTCCTTCAAGTTCTCCAATTCTATCTGCTGTATCTGGTGTGCTACCAGGTGCCTGCAGCCCTGAGGTCACGTGCATCCCAGGACAGCCATGAATGCAGGACAACACAAAGGATAGTGTTCTATTGCATAAGGCTTATGTCAAAAAGGCTACTAGGTAGCCCTCAGCCCACCTAAATGAGGACCTATCCTTTTATGTGAGTTTTTCTGTTTTCTCATCCTCATGGATCAGCCACCTAATCACAAGGGCATACATACACGCATTACCACATTAAGAACTCCATGAAAGTTCTTAATAGAGTATTTCATGTTTTCAACTCTAGACTGTTCATTTGATATTTTCTGTATTTCATGTCTTCATCCATTTTGTTCATCTATGGCTTTATTTGATTTAACATAATAATCAAATAATTGTAAACTTCTCAGATTCTCCTATGCGGTCACTTGTGGCCTCCATGTCTTTTCTATATGTCCTTGCCTACTCACATTTTCCTGCCTTTTCTTGGCCAGAAATTTGTAACTATGAATTTTAAAAAAAAAAAATCTGTATCTGCACATACCTGAAAGAAGCTTTCCACATACTGCAATAAATAGACTCCGCAGTCGCTGCTATTATCCTGCTTAGGGACTTTAGGGCATAGGTCTACCATGTTGGTTTTACTGAATTCACGGTGAGTTTTTCGCTTAACTTCCCACTCTACCTCTAGATACCTGAAATAGTCAACAGGAGACAGGAGAGTGACTTGAGTAGAAATCTTGATCAGTCTGCAACACTCTCTACAAAGGAAGAAAACACCTCCTTTGCAAAATCTGTTGCTTCAAATTAAAATTCCAAAGACAGAATTTCAACAATACAACTGTAATTTATGAGCCTTCACAAATGCCACAGTGAAGAAAGCGATGTGATTTCAAATGAAACCTAGAGTTTTTAACAACTTAATGTTCACAGTTTCGATAACACAAAATTATTTATATTATGAAGTAAGCTAACACACAGCTTTTAAATTTTGTTTTCAGCACCTATATTAAATTATGAAATTCCTCTCTAGTGCCTTCTGGTAAAGGAACTTTCTATTCGTAGAATTTCTTGCTACGAAGCCCTCACAACCTGGGTTAGATCCCCAGGACCCAGAGGGTGGAAGAGATAACCAGCTCCCACAAGCTTCTTCTCTCCTCCACACCAAAGCCCAGGCACAAGCTTGCCACCACCCCACAACCCACCCACATGACTTTAAAATGTTTGTAAGATATCTCTCTCTCTCTCTCTCTCTCTCTCTCTCTCTCTCTCTCTCTCTCTCTCTCTCTCTCTCTTCACATACACACCCACATACACAAACATACACAAATAGAAATTTACAGGTGTCTACTTTCTTTTCAGGTTTTATTTTTGATAATCACTAATATCTGCAATGTTGCATAAAATTATGGTTTTTGTTCAATTACAAATAAAAATTTTGAATTTTCCTTTGACAAATCTAAACCCTTCACTATTAACACATAATGGAGGATGTTGTTGGCAATCAGATTTTCAGGTTCATTTAAGTACGTTAGAAATACAATTACTACCATGGTACCATCAATCTCTCTTCATTGTAGCCAGGATCTCACTATGATAGTCCACTGTCCTCCGGAGCAGATCTTGAGTTTGTGGTCCTCTCGCCTGTTAGGCTACTACACTGCCTCTGAGTGCTAATGTTATGCTCCCCGACCCCACATCTCCAGGGCTGTTTTCAGTAATACTGAGGTAGTTTCAAAAGTGCTGAGATTTTAGAAAACAGACTGAATGTAAAAACTGTCATTACTTACTCTCGTAAATTCTGAACTGTGTTTTGTATAGAAGCAGCTTTCAAGGAGTCTAGTATGAGAATACACGGCCTTTAAAACACAAAGGAAGAGATCAAGATGTACAGACTTATATAAAGATGAATACCCAAGCACAAACAAACAAAGAAAACATCCAGGGCTGGTGAGAGAGTTCACCAGGGAACTGCCTGTAAGTCTCTGTCCTCAAACCTTCACACATGTGCTGTGCCATGGCACGCGCATGCACACGCACACACACACGCGCGCACACACACACACTAAATAAATAAATAAATAAACAAATAAATAAATAAATAAACAAACAAACAAACAAAGCTGAGGGCTGGAGAGATGGCTCTTTGGTTCAGAGCACTTGTTCTTGCAGAAGACATGGGCTCAGTTCCCAGCATCACATGGCAGCTCACAACTCAGTTCCACACCCTCTTCTGAGCACATGCAGGAAAACATTCATACACATAAAATAATAATTCTCTAAAATACATCATTTTCAAACCTTTATATTATTATTATTGTTATTATTTTTATTACATGGACTTACCTTTTACACATTTTCTTTGGTACTGACATATTCATCTCGGTACTCTGAAATAACATGAATTTTTGTCTTTGCAATTTAAGCTAGTTTAAATACATTAACAGCCACTTAGTCCTTAAAGTATTTCAAATACTGAAATTAAATTTTCAAGTAAATGTTCTTTCTCAACAGTTAGCTTTAAAACAAATCAAGCTCACTCCATTTTCCAAACTCACTGACTGATACACTTTCACACTGATTTCACGTAGATGCTTTAACCTAGCCTATGCAATAACATAAGATTTTATTTTTATTCACTTATTCTCTTAAAGACAAGTAAGATAACTGTGTCTGCACGCTTTCTGTAACTCAATTGAGGCTGGAGAGACACATTTCTTCCCTTTGAAGCACAAGAAACGGTTTTAATCTGCACTTGATCTGAGCCAAAGGCTGAGAAGCAATCCAGGTATTTATCTATGACGAGAGGAAAAGCATTAGCAATTGTGAGCTTTGCTGACAATGGTTCATTCATAGATTCCTGAGTGAATCGATCAAACTGATTTCTTTAAAGACCATCTTAGTGCCATTGTTATTCTAAAAAACACAATGAATCTCTAAGAGAGCAAGCTGACAACAAACTAAACAAATCGGCAAGAAGGGTAACTTCATGTTCTTTCCCAAAAATGGTTGAAATAATCAAAAAGGAGCACAATATAATTATGAGTCACTAACACTCATCTCAGTCCACTTAGGCAGGCCCTATTTTATAGTTAACTTCGTAATTGTTATGAGTTTTCCTTTCTCCATATCTGGATAGAACACACTTACTTGGGAATCCTCTGCACTCGAAGACACTGTTGAAGTGGTATGTAGATCATTGTCTAATAACAAAGAAGTCACTATGAGTCTTTATTGTGTGTTAACACAGATAATTTAGATAATCTGAACTTCAAGATGTATCCACAGTACTAATTAAAGAAAAAACATTTTTTATGGTCAGTATTATGAGAAAACTTAGACAAACGGATAAAACTGGTAAGGGTTGGCTGTTACCACATAATATAAAAACCTCAGAAACAAAACCTGAAATACAAATTGGCTGGGCCCATTTCCTCCCAAAAGACTATCTTCACATACAGCAAACTAACAAAAATGTGTACTTTCATGTGGAGGGTAGTTAACTTCTCATGTAACGGTTCTTATAACTTTTGAAGCTCAAAAGGTTAAGAAAGGATAGAAAACAAACAGGTGTCCCCACAGTTTCCCAACCCCACACCCCAGGTTCTGGATAGCATGAGGGAGAAAAGCTACTATCAATTTTGCTTGCTAATTAGGTTACAGCTACAAAACACTTAGTTTTTATTTTTTTCCAAAGAAAATAGGCTTATTTGCTTACTTAAAATTTGATGTCACAAGAGAATTATAGAAGAAATATGAGCTATTATGTTGCCTCTGAATTACTAGTATGTAAGAAGTGTATTAAATTAGACTTTAAGATGCATGAAGAGTCATACCATGAATTCTGAGTCATGTTAGCAAGGCTATTCTCTTAAAATGCTACGATAAAACTTAGCATCAATGATATTACTTTAGAATTATATTTTGGGTATCAGGAGAATTTCAAACATTTTGTATTCCTTTTATTAAGTTTCATAATAAACAATAGACTGTTAACTTCATATTGTTTCCCTTACTCTGCGTATTATTGTGACTATTATTAACAATGTCTGTCACCTGTTGTTTTGCTGTCCTGCTGAGACTGCTGATCCTGGGACTGTTGGGACACAGTTTGTGGAAAATCTTCATACATGGCTTCTTCTAACCATGGAAAACAAATGACTGCGAGGTACCAGTGAGACCTGTTGAAAAGAATTGTAGTCTTAATAATAGACCAAATCTCCACAACGTAGAACCTTCTAGAGCTACATCTGTGATGGTCGATATGATAAACACCTTACTAACTATGAAGACATCCACTATAGCATCTCACATAAGATGGAGCATACATGATACACTAATAGCCACAATTTACCAAGGCCATAATAGAAGTTTGTAATGTACTGTCTGAATAGCGCAAATGTTATCTACCTTCATAATTCGGTATTTCTTTGCAGGATCTCTATTAATAACATCACTTCTTTTGTATTAGAATTTAAGGAAGGTATTCTCTTCTGATATTTTTAGTTTACAAAATAGTTCTTAAAACAAAAATTAATTGCTTTAGTTATTACAACATTGGAGGCATTTTTATATGTCCATGCTTTTTATTGATTATACTTCAAATATTTTTTTCTTAAACCCTAACTGGTTTTCAAATAGTCAAGAGTACTCACGACTCATTTACAGGTACAAAGATGTAGTCTTTATTAAAAATGTTTATGTGGCGAGTCCATGTTCTTACTCTTCTATGTCTCCTCTGAGCCATTCTAGGAATAGGAAAGACATATATACAGATTTATTTAAAAGTTGTAAGGTTTATTAAACCACTGTCTTCAATGCATGTAACTTAACATACCAGAATTCTATTTGATTGTTCTTACATCTGATTACCACAAGCAGTAGTGGAATAAACAGAGGAAAGCTGGCACATTGCTACTGCTTTGTAGATCCCAAAGGGGCTCGGCAACTGAGCATAAACATGTTCAAACCTAATTCCTTCTGCTTTGCTCCGCTGAGGGATTATGTAGAGTATCATCAAACCTTAACAAAGTTACCCAACTGTTCTCTCTGTCTAAGTGTTAAAACCTAATGGGGAAGAAGAATTGAAGGTTGTTTGGGGGTTTTTTTTGTTTGTTGGTTTGTTTTGGTTTTTTTTGTTTTGTTTTTGTTTTTGTCTTTAATTTTAAAACATAAACTTCATCTCCCTTCATTTCACACATAAGGAAATTACAGGACAAGGCTAAGGGTACCTACTGATCCTCATCCGTTTTCCTTTTACTTCTGCAGCAGATATTAATTCATTTCCAAAGAACAAATAATGAAAAATAACCTGAATTGATTGAAACAAATTTACAATTTAAAGGTAAAAGAAAGCACACATGAAGTAACTAAAATACAATGCCAAAAAAGGATACAAAGAGTTCTATCAAACCATCTAGAAGAGCCACCTTGAACACACACACACATTTGTTATGCTTATTTTTTTTTTAACTATCGGGGTTGGGAGAGTTATAGCAAACCAATTTTGGATGTAAAAAAATCTACAAAGACAATGGGCACTTAAAATGGCACAAAGGAAATTTCTGATTTCTGGCTCAGTGCCTCAGAAGGAAGTCTTCAATCTCTACCTACTATATATCAAGTAATATAAGAAGTATACATCTTTTTCCCACCTTATTCATCTGGACAATATCTAACCATATGAATAAACATTAGGACTAAGAGAAAATCCAGAATGAGCTAAAAAGATACGACAGAGTAAACACCATATCAAAAATAATTGTTATAAGTAAAATAATCAGAAGTATGTTTATTGAATGCTCTCATTTTAACTCAATAACTACATAAAATTAGGAACAATTACTTCAATTAGTATATAAACTACCAACCTGTTCTCTATTTGAGACCATCAAAGATGAACACCTAGTTTGTTTTGTTATGCTGGTGTTTAGTAGGCTTCATATTTAAGATAACCTTATTGAGGAATATATCAGACAGAACGAAGCAAGGATGGCAGGAGAAAATCTAAGGGCTAGGAGTGGGTGAGATGGCTCAGCAGATAAAAGTACTTGCTGTACAAGCCCAACGACCTAAATTCAGTCCCCAGACTCCAGAGGGGAAGGAGAGAAGCAGCTCCTGAAAGCTGTCCTCTGACCTCCACCTGCACACGTGTATGCAAACATTCATACACACAACACTAAATAAAGAAGAACTACGGAGGCTATATATGGTCTCTTTCTCAGCTCTTAACCGTGTAAAATACCTCCAATTAAATATCTCACAGTTCTCTCTACTTAGTGATAGGCATTACTCCCGTCCTCTGTTTTGACTTCCTATTATGTTCCAAGCTGTAGCAGACTTGCTTTTGGGCCACCAACCAGCTGCCAAATCATGACATGAAGATTTAATATTAATTATGAATGCTCAGCCATAGCTTAGGCTTATTTCTTGATAGCTCTCATAACTTAATTTAACCTGTTTCTCTTCATCTACGTTTTGCCTTGGGGCTTTTTACCTTTCCTTCTTTCTGTATGTCCTACTTCATGTCTTGTTGGCTGACCCCAGGTGTCTTCCTCTCTTTCTCCCTCATTCTCTCCTTCTCAACTCTCAAGCATAAATTCCCCTTTCTACTTATTCTCGCTTCTTGCCAGCCCTGACTATCCCTCTCCTGCCTAGCTATTAGCCATTCAGCTTTTTATTAGACCAATCGGTGCCTTAGGCAGGCAAGGCAATACATCTTTACATTGTTAAATAAATGCAGCATAAACAAATATAACGTATCTTTGCCCAGTTAAACAAATGCAATGTAAACAAATGCAGCACGCCTTTACATAGCTAAAGTAATCTTCTGCAACCTAAACAAGTGCGACACATCTTTACATAGCTAAAGTAATATTCCACAGCACCCAGCACTGAGTAAGTCACTGGAGATGGCGCCGGCCTCACAGAAAGCAAAGACAATAGGAAAACAGCATGATTATAGAGCTCTTGCTGTGAAACACAGTGCTAGAAGAGATTTCGGAAGAAAATATGCAAGGGCTGAACATATCAGAAAACTGAGAAGAGGTAGCTTGACTACAGGTGAGCAAATGTTGTGTTGTGAAATAGGTTTAGGGAGAATAGAAAAATCCAAACTTGCAGAGTGATGAGCATGTAAGCCATTTATCCTACAGTGGTAATACTAGTAATTTTGGCCTTTTGTTGAACTGATACTAAAATGTTCCTCTCTTCTTAAATTGCTTTTAGATTATGTCTTTTTAAAAATAATTTGTATGGATCCTTTTGTGAATACTAATTATACACACACACACACACACACACACACACACACACACACAAATGTCAAGCAGCGGTGGTGCACACCTTTAATCCCAGCACTTGCGAGGCAGAGCCAGGCGAATCTCTGTGAGTTCAAGGCCAGCCTGGTGTACAGAGTGAGTTCCAGGACAGGCACCAAAACTACACAGAGAAACCCTGTCTCGAAAAACAATATATATTACATATATGAATATATCAGACTAAACACACCTATGGGGGCATGTGTGAGTGTGTATGTGCGTGCACTCCTATGTGTTATGTCACCCTTCCTACACTATAATATACCATTCATGTAACATTGTTATTATTTTTCTGTATGATCAGATAAATACAAGAGCTTTTTCAAACCCACTAACACAGCAGGATCGACCTTTCCCCTCCTCACACTGAAGATGAGTATGCCAATTTATGTGCTGAGTTATCACACCAAGCCCAGTATCATCATTTTTAAGGCAATTACAATTTCTACATTGTAATTTTATAATGTAGGATTACTTGCACAATCCCAATTATTAATTTCTGTATACACAAAATAGAACTGAAGGGCATCAGAAATTATAAATAATAAATTGATCAATAACATTTTCCTTCTGTATGCCTTCTCCTAAGCCTGATTATCAAAAATATTTTCAAACTAGATTTTTCTCTTTGATTCTGACAGGCCTTGCCCATCAATATAAGACCTAAACCAAAAAAGCCACTTAAAGTTGACCATAATCCTAGCCTGTCAAAGACAGCCTCTATATATGAGTTATCTAGTGTATACTATTAAAAGAATCTTCTGTTATCATCACAAGTGTCCCAACTCAAACCATAAATTATGTCCCAACACTACAACAACAGAAATAACCAAACTTTGGAACCTGAAAATTGTATTCAACTGTGTATAACTAACCTAATTTCTTTTAGTTTCTATTAATAAAGATTATTATAATCATTTATTTTATATTATTATAAATTATTATTTACCTTAAAAAATATTAGAGTTAAATGATTGTTTACCATTTGACTTCAAAGCATGCAATCAATGACTATTCATCCTCTATATTCTTATCCTTTTTATCAAAATATATAACAAATTCAAAAAGCATATTAGTTTAACCATCACAATTATTACTTCCAATGTTTGACTTTTAAATTTTTATTACTGATGTATGTATGTGTGTGAGCAGGTGTGCATATGGTCCACATGCCATGCACCCACATGAAGGTCAGGGGACAACCTGCAGGAGTTGGTTTTACCTTTGACCACGTGGGTCATCAGCCTGACAGCAAGTGCCTTTACCTGCTAAGTCATCATGCCGAGACCAGCATCTTCTTTTTTTGGGAGGGGGCGGGGGCGGGGGCGGGG